GCCTCCATCAGCTTCTCCACCTGCTGGGCCTGGTCCAGCGCGTCCCGCAGCGCGTCCTCCGTGCTCACAAGCTGGTGCTGCAGCCGCAGCAGCTCGGGCGCTGAGGCGGGGTCGATGAGCGAGTAGCGCCTCTGCTCCGACAGCGCCTTGTCCTTGTCCTGCAGCGGGGAGGGCATGAGTGGGCGCAGCAGGGGACTCTCCCCCGCACCCCTGGGTGCAGGCCTGGGCAGTGCCCATGTCGCTCAGGTGGCCTTCCTCCCTCTGGTCCCTGGCCCCAGTTCCCAGCTCTGATGCACGCTCCACCTTCTCTGGGGCCCCAACTCCAGCGCACCCCGTCCTTCCCTTCCACCTGACCCCCAGCACTGACCACGGACCCTGGCCTCCTTTCACCAGCCCATGTGACCCATGCCTCCCCACTGTGACCTCCATCACTGTCAGCTTGCACCACCAAGGTCTGCCCAGATGCACCTACAGGAGGCCAGGGTGCTCTCACCCTCTGGCCATGCCCACTCTGCTCGCAGGCTTCTAGCCACCCATCAGGTCCTTCCCTGCCGGGGACAGTGCAGGGTGATGACAGGAGGCTGCCCTGGAGTGGGGGCGCCAGTGTGCCTGGGCCCTGGGAGGTGAGTCTGTGCTCAGCACAGCCACCTGCCACATGGCCGTGTGTGTGTGTGTGTGTGTGTGTGTGTGTGTGTGTGTGTCAGAGAGACCCAAGGTGGTGGGCCCGAGGGTGAGGGGGTGGGCTGGTCTCTTATATCATTCAGGGACTCAGAGCCAGGAGGACCACTGAAGGCTGCTGGTCAGACATGGTGAGACTTGAAGATGGGTAGGGTGGCCCCGCCCAGGGCTGCCCATGCTGACGCCATCCGGTGGCGCCAGAGGGCTGTGGCCGGCTATGTCTGACCCTCCCTCCTTCAAGCCTGAGAAGCCCCAGGGATGGGTCCCCTTTCCTTCCATCTCCCCCACAGTGTGGCAGAGCCCCGGTGGCTGGAGGGCATGAGGGGATTCAGATCAGCTGCTCTGTCAGAAGCTTGTCCTCCAGACCCCACCAGGGGACTGACCACAGGCTCGTCAGGTGTTGACCGTGGGGGGGTGGGCATGGTTCTACCCTGGGCTGTCCCATCCCCCACATGGGGACTCGGTTGAGGCCAGGTTCCCCTTGGTGCACGTGGATGTGACAGTTTGGATGTGAGCATGCAGTTTGGCTAAAGCGCCTGTGTTAATATAGCTGTGTTGTGACACCTGGGACCTAGCCAGTCCCTCCAGGTTTTCAGGGACTTGCTGGGTGGGGACTGTGGCTGGAGGAGGTGGGTCACTGGGGGCTGCCCTGGAGGGGTCCCTTCCCCACTCTGCTCCCTGGCTGCTGGGAGCAGGGCAGCGCTGCCCCTCCGCGCCCTCCCGCCGTGATGCTCTGCCTCCCTGGGCCCATAGCCCTGGAGCAGGCCAGCGGTGGACGAAGACCTCCGAAACCAGGAGCCCCAGGTCAACTCTTCCTCCTCGAGGCTGACCCTGTCGGGTGTTCTAGTCACAGAGATGAAAAGCTGACCAGACAACGAGAAGGAATTTCAGGGCCCAGAAGCCCGAGGCTGAAGGAGACTGAGGCTGCCTCTCCTTCTGAGATGGGCGTGTGTGCGTGGATCCTCAGGGCAGGACCCTTAGCAAGGAGCTCTGGTTCCAGGCTGATTACCTCCCTGCATGGGGAGCTCACCACCTCTGCCAGCCCTGGGCCTCTTCACAGGTCAGACTGCACCCAGCCAGGTGCAAGGTCTCCTACAGGGGCTGCCCAGTCCCTCCACAGGCCCTGCTGCTGACCCTGCCTGTGACCCTAGGGGCTTTCCAAACCTCACTGGAGGTCACCAGTCTCCATGGCCCGGCAGCAGGGCAGCCCTACCCCACCCTGCTGCCCGCTGTGCCCACGTACCAGCCCGGTTAGCTTCTCACGAAGACCCCGGATGTCCTCCTTGAGTTTCTGCTCCTTGATCCGCCACTCAGCCTTGTGCACCTCGCGGCTCAGGTCCCTCTCGGGCCCGGGGG